CTGCCACGAAGGAATTCACATTAATTTGGAGGAAGTCACACAATTTTTATATCTTTCAGAAAGCTCAGTAGCACCAAAGTGCTTACAGCACAGGGATATTGATTGTACTCAATCATTAATTCTTTTTGTTTGTTTGTTTGCCTAGAAGCTGGTTTTGACTCTTTCATATGATTGATGTAAGCAGAGGAGATGCATCTTAGATATGACCAAGATTCCTTCACTGTATTATGCTCAAATAAGCTTTTTTTACAACACTGCTGTGATTAGGGGTGAGGTGGAAGGGGTGGTGAGGTATTACAGAAAACAGGGAGAAGGGGAATTAAGTCACAAATAATAGATGTCTCCTCCAAAACAAAATTTCTGTAAGAAATAATAACTCTGCCATTACCTGCCCTCTCCAAATTTATAACAATCCAGACAAGTGGTGCATCTTAAATCAGCTCAACATACAGTGAAATTAGCTCTCCAGGAAATCTAATAAAGAAATGGACAAAAAATAGAGCAGAACTGGAGAACAAGAACGAAGCTGATGAAGTAAGTAACATCATGGTGTAAGAACTTAAATTTGTTCTTCTATTACTGTGTTCCTTTAGCACAGAGGGAAAAAAACCAAATAACTATGCACAATCTTTAAGAAAAACTACTGAAAAATACTTCAGTAAATTAAGACATGTCAGTGAGTATTTTTTTATTCTGTGATAATTCAAAAATTTGTTTTGATGTTACACATTGTCAGATCATCAGCAGTATTAAGGGAACTATGAAGTATAACTGAATTTAAATTATTACAAAAATGTATATATGCTTTACAACAATACATTCACTGATCATCATTTACATTTAAACTGCAAGAGCAAAAGGGGTATATTTATTTTGCAACAGCAGACCAAAAAAAAGTTGTCATATATTTCTCAGGATTAATTAAAAACCCCACAAGATTTTACTGCAAAAAATAAAAAACACGTCAAAAAACTAAGATCTGAAACTTATGCTAAATATACTTCCATTAAAGCAGTATCTCCCAAGCTTTTCGAACTGTTAAAAATACCACAGTAAAATCTCTCAGCATCTGGAGAAAAGAGCAGAAGTAAAACCAGCCTGTCCCTTTCCAACTACAGCAGAGATGCCAGAGACACAACGTTACAAAGCTAGCACAGTGTGATGGGCATTTTTGCACCAAGACAGAAAGAAATGAACTAGGATCCTGCAGATGCTTTGGCTGAAGTCTCTGGAAAAGGCCTAGTAAGGGACCATCTGAGCCACATCTGGATCTAACCGTTCCAGGAATTTTCACTTTTAAGAATTTGAAAAATCATCAGTTTCAGAAAGAAAGAGAAAGGACATTACGTGATGGCGCGTACAAAATTTTCACTATCAAATTATAGTAAACATTCTTGCTTTGTTTCATTAAGTCTTTTGCCAGAGCAAGTTTATTAGAACACAAGACGCGCAAATCCTATCATGAGGCCTCTGCCTGAAAACTTTACTGTAGAGAGTATTTTTCTTAAGATGTGACAAGTAACAAAAAAAAGTGATGCAGAAAGAAAGGATTACTTTTCCCTAACATAATGTTTCTGAAGCTGCAGTGAATTTTTAAATTTATTTCTTCCAAATTATAAAATATTAAATTTAAAAAAAATACAAAAAGTCGAATGTCACACACCGCACAATCTTCCTAGGAATTCAAAATCAGCTGGTAGCCTTCACTTCTCATACCTCCTTACTAAAAAAGCACTAGGGAATTGCTGACAGGGTTCAGCATTGTGCAGAATATTAAATATCTTTTTTGCAATACCCTGGTGACTCTTGAGTCTGTCTCTTACAGCACCATATGTACAGCTGTGTTGGAAAGAGGAAGCTATTAAATATATTAAAAAGTAGAAATATTACCAATAGACACTTCATCAAATAACTGGATCTCATTCATCCCCAAACAAAGCAAGAAATGTTAAGGTTACATCAACATAAGAAAATAACTCTGGATTTAATAACACCACAAGCCTGTTGAACATATTTGAAAGTAAAAACATTGCTTAATAAAACAGATTAGTGTTTCTGAAACAATGAATATAGCTTTCAACCATCAGAATGCTTTGGTAATAAAGACATTGGACTTGGTCTTGAAAGGCACTGGGTGTCTCAGTTCCCACACCACAGTCACGGCTAGAAGGTCTTCGGGTCCAAATATATTACCCTTAGTTTACTGCCAACACAGGACTAGGAATATTTTGTATCAAAAAGGATTTAATAAAAGGGAAAAAAAAAAGAAAAAAGAAAAGAAAAAGCTTTTTGTTTGAGATTGCATTTGCAAATACGCTCTTGCAAGTTTGCCCTCCTCCCACATACATGTACAAATATTGCATCCACATCTCCAGCTAACGCTTACAGGAGACAGCAACAACACACCCTCATTCCACAAAGGCATACAAGTAGAGAACCACAATAACTTTTCAAAAACATCTAAACACTTAAGGACTCTGAATTATTTTTTCAACAGTCAGTTTCAAAAAGGACATTTTCGATGTTTCTAAGAACCTAAAGACATCGACAGGAAAACTGGACTTCCAGTGGCTCCTATCACATAAGAATTTAAATCGGCATTAAGTGAATATGTGCTGCCAAAAATCCCACTAACCGCCTATCTGCACTTTTACACTTATGTAAGACTTTTACAAGTACGGCTGTTGAGCTCCAGAAGCCTAACACCCATCAACTTTTAATAAGATTTGCAATCTTAAATGCTCGAGTAACTTCCGAAAACAGGACTTAGGCTGTTTGTAAAAATTTCCCCACAGGCCCCATGTTCTGCAGTACAGCTCGCAGGCAAAGCACAGCTTTCTCGGGGAGCCCTGCTAACTTCGGCCATGATTTGGGGAAGCACTGTCACACGTTTACATAGTGTGAGCTCCCCCTCTCACACTTCAGGGAAAGAAATAAAAAAATAAAAGAACACCTATGAAGCCCTGCTAAGCAAAACTTCATATAAAAACACTGAGGAGATCTGAATGTTTATTTAACTATCACAAGAACTATGCTAATTATGCCACTTAGAAATTTTTGCAATAATTCTGTGAGACTCCAATACTACTTTTGCTAAAATTGGTGCGAAAGCCTATGGTTCCTCAAAGGGAAAAGACGTTTTGTAACTCACAATAACACATGAATAATTCACGTACTTTCCTCCAGTTTCTGAAGACACATTTCTACCTGGATTTACAAAGTTTTTACAGTTAGTAGTGTTTCTACTTCATACATTCTCCTTCTGTAGAGCAACAAGGTGTTTAAACTAAGGCAGCTGCCTACTTACTTGCAAGATAATTACAACTGATGATTAAAGAATGTTTTAAGATGTATTCTAAAGAGCACTGAAACTTCTTGAATCAAGCATAAATAGAAATTAAGACCCTAAGGCTACAGGCATTACCATGTATTGCATCAAGATAACTGGTTTGACTTAAGAAGATAAGCAATTAAGAAGTATAATACTTCAGACCACGAACCCACAAGAGATTCTGCACGGACACATTCTTTCCTGTTACGTAATCAGTGAACATACTGTTTTGCCAAATATGTAGTTTGCAAAAAAAACCCACACCAGTGCAAAGACAGCCTTGACTTGTCTTTGGCGCTCCTTCAACCTCAACCACCGTACATAAACAGGACCTGGTTTTGAGATGGTTTCTGGAGAAGCAGTCGCCTGATCCACAAGACCTGGCTGGTGTTGCTGTGATGATTTCCGCCTCCACCTGCCAGCTCAACTCTGCTGCTGGAGGTTCACACCTCCCCAGCACAGTCAGCGAAGACAACCGATGCCAGCCTCTTAGTCACTTCGATGCAAAGTCCAGCATCTCAGTATAGACCCACCAACAGAAGAAATACCCAAATTTAACAGCTGAGATTTGGGCACAGGAGCCTTTCTACTCTACTGAAGAGACATTAGAGGAGGAATGGCACCTGAGGCAGGAACTTTTTAACCACTGCAGCAAGATTTGTCAGCACTCATACATCAAGCCTGCATATAAGCTACCTTGGAGGTCTCCATGCTGTTCTCTGACTACTTCTGTGTGACAAGCATAGCTCAGCCACAAATCATGTAGTCACAGGCATGCCTGCAGTGTGCCTACACCTACAGTTTATTCCCATACACTTTGGAGGATAAATTACACTGGTACCAGACAGCTTCGTGCAACCACATCCTCTCTAGAAATTCAAATAATTTTACTAATTTAGTTGAAAAAGTCAGAGCATTAGATACATACACAGTTCAGCCTGATAAACTGCTGTGATGCCTTTTTTTTTTTTATTTATTTTTTTTATTCCAGTGCTAGAATTTGCTGGCAAACAGCAATTTTATTTGACAAAGGCTTATGCAGGTAATGATGGAGGCTACTACCACAACAGAAATTTCTCTTCAGTCTTCTCTGTTGAGGCCTACTGTACAGAGCAGCCTGCAGGATCGTGGCCTCAGACTAATCAGGATCAAAAAAGCACTGTGCAGCTGTGGTAAGCCTTCATTAAGTCACAGTTCATTGACCACTAAAACATAAATATAAAATATTTAAAGACGCTTGGTTGCAGCAATTGAAGGAGAACATTTTTAAAGAGAACAACACCAGGCTTTGAGGGAATTTGAGTTTCACATATGGTTCAAACTGAGATGGGAGTTGTATGGGGATATGGCCTGAGCAGAACGAAGTAAAGTCTTTAGAAAAACATACTGTAATGAGTTAGTGTTGCACACAAGAATTTGCAAAAAATGACAATGTTATTGACAGTCCTTCGCTGTGCAGGGCGACCACTGTGATTACAGTAAACTTCTCTCTGGAAGAGGTCAGGACACAATGACGTAACCGAATACATTAGGGGCTTTGCACACACCATTGAGAAAAACATTCTAATTTCATTTCAAAGTACGTTGATAGTAAGGCTATTTCCCACCCTCCCCAAATGCAAGTGTAGAAGGAATACAAACAGAACGAAAAAACCCAACCATCACTTACTCTGTTTTCCGTCTTTGCTTGTCTTCAAATATGTCATTCAGACTTATCGCCACCTGTCCCAAAAACTTGTCCAGCCCCACCAGCGACCTGTGCATGACAATCAGGCACAGGATGTATTTTTCTGGATTCTCCTGCATGAGTAATCCAGGGAGCTCGAAGGAGGCCTCCTCTTTCCAGACGGGATCCAGGGTCTTCTCAGCCACCGAGGTGGAGTACTTCTCCTTGCCCAGCTGTATGATGGTGTAGGCATCGTTGCTGCCATTTTTACCTTTTGGCTTCAGACCTTTGGCTTGAAGGACCGTCACTTGCACGTGAGTTGGGAACCACTTCTGGGCTTGCTCTGCCAACATCATCGTTGAAGATCGCCGCAGCAAGAACGATCGCGACGTCTGTCAGTCTCGGAGTTACTGCGTAAGGGCACTTACGGCGGGGACACCTGTCAGGGGCTCGGCGCGGTCCTTCCTCCGGCGCTCCTGGCCGCGGGGGGCACTCACCAGTCCTCAGCTTCCCCCCGCCCCACGCAGCCCGACCCGCGCCTCCATGGCTGGGGGCTGCGGGGGC